CCCGCCTCTTCGACCTGTTTGTTTCCTCTCCACCTATCCTCTCCTCTATCCATCTTCTATCCGGCATTTACTGAGATGAAGCTTGAAGGGGATCAAATAACAAAAACTTTGTCTGGAATTACTAAAGACCACCTTTAGGCTTTCAAATCAACCAGTTACAAGTGGAGGATGTCTAATGTTTACAAGTATTTCATTATTACAGACTAACAGACCGAGCATCAGTTTGAGACATAAAGCTATCTATACCATTACTTCTTATTCCTCCTAAATGAAGTCATGTGGTTTGGGGAACTCCTGTTATTTGTTGAAACATAATTAAATATAATCCTTGTGTTATTTTTCAGTAGTTGGTAGGTTTCAGCATAACAGTAGAGACTCTGCTTTTCTTTCTCTTCTATTAGAATTAGAAGAGAGAATGATATTTATATTAACTTACAGTTAGAATGATTATTAGTTTTGAGGTCTAAATTAAACACAGAAACAAGGGACGAATTGCAGAAAGGTTAAAAAGCAAAGATATGTGTTAGGGAGGCATTGCCTCTGTTTGGACATGTACATGCTGAACCCATAATTACACATATAGTAGAAGCATGATTGGAGTAACTTGGATGCACTTTTGATTTGAGGACTAACTGAGAAAGCTTGGACCACTCTCAGTGAGGAGGTTTAGACTTTTTGATTTGTATTTACAGCACCCAATTAGAAGCTGTCTCACCTCTTTGAAGTTTATTTTAAAAGGGTAGAGGCTCAGAGGATGGAAGGTGCTTGCCACAGTGTCCCAACCCTAAACAAGGACCAAGGTGCAATATAACTGCAATTGTTCTGTTGAAGTACTGTAAGTATGCTTATGCTTTCTGCTTAAATAGAAATCAGAACTGTTACCAATATGGAAGCAGCATCAAAGGGACTGTAAAAAATTAAATAAATTGGAAAAAAAAAGAAATTAAGGACTTGAACTTATGATCCTATCATGCAAAACTAAATGTCTTTGTGTGAAATTCCTCCCTTTGCCGATTTGTATGAAAGAAGTAGTTTAAAACTTTCACTAAAATAGCAGAGAAAAGAATTTCATTCTATGTCTTAAAGATCGCTGTACAGTATCCTGCAATGTAATAAAGCCTGAGATTAATATTTACTTATAATTAACTCTATGAGGAGTGACTTTTCTTGAACACATTTAAAAGCTTTACAAGGCCTACAGCGTCTGTACAGATCTGTGATATCTATTTGTCCCAAGTAAAATTCCAGGTGATACTCAAAAAACAAGTTCCTCTCTGAAATATATGTAGGAAGTTTATTTCAATTGTACAATTACAAGTTACACACCAAAGACAATACAACATAAATTTGTGCATATATACTTTACAGAAACATATTCTAGCAAACGGCGCTACTGCACAGAACTAAATCTTGCCCTGGTGACAACTGTTACCAATTTTTCTGCAGTAACAAATGGCATTAAAAAACCTGCAGTAGCAAACGGCACATGGATCACAGCAAGGCAATGTGTGGCCAAAACAGGACTCCAAGTGCCGGACACATCTCCTGGGTGAACGTTCTGTTCTGTCCTTCTCCAGTGCGCTGGATATTACCTGCAAGATTAAACTCAAAGATTAGGAAAGCACAGCAGCATGCCAATTTTTTGCATTACAGCACTGAAGCAATCGATGAACAACACATACAATATACAACACATGGAACTCAACAGATCTGGTAGCATCTCTGGAGGGAGGAGCAGATTTAACATTTCAAGTCCCGTGTGACTCTTCTTCAGAATTGTGATGGGATCTTTTACAGCTACCAAGGCAGGCAGAAAATTTTTGATTTAAGACAGCACCTCCAACAATGCAGCCCTCCTCATTCCTGCACTGGAGTGTTAGGCCTTGATTTCTAAGCTCAATCCTGAAATGGGATTGAACCGAAATCATGATTCACTGGTTAGAGTGCTATCAGCTGAGCCATGGCTGAAAGTCAACGTAACAGAAGAATTTCTTGACAGCTTTCTTTTACACTCTTGCTATTATGAAAAATCTAAATTGATCTGTAATAATTTTTGAACCACTATACTATACTTTACGTAATAGCACTTATATTCTGCTTGATGTATGAAAATTACAGTTACCTCAGAATCCAACATGATTTTCTTTGGCATATAATTCTGCTTAACCATGTCCACTGCTTTGTCAAGTCCAGGCCTGACCAGTGAGCCTGGATGATAGAATCATTTGTAAAACTGTTAATGCAAGGCCAGATAATGAAACATTCAACTTTGGTTTGATAAATTAGAAAGAATCTTACTAACAATAAAGACTCTTACAAATCATTTCTTTTCTTTAGCTGAACAGGTAGAGTTTAAAATAACAAGGGCTAGATCAAAGAACAGTGTTTTAGATCATCTTCCCAGCAGGATATTGGTAAGGGTGATTGAGAAAGATAATTGGGAAAGCATAAAACAGCACTGAGAGAGAGCCAAAGAAAAATAATAGAATCAGAAAAACTTGACAAAATCAGAAAAGAGAAGGAAAAAACAGAGAGAGGGGAAGAAGCAAATTTCCAACTGAGAGCAAAAATGTAGGTGATCTACCAACTGTTAAGTTAAGGCTGGTTATCAGTTCATATGTTTGAAGTTAATATTGCACAAAGTAATACAGATTTAATATTGAAGTCAGATTGTAAAGTTAGGGAACCAAGTAAATTATATATTGCAACTGTCTTCCCACCTGCAAGCCTCAAGAAGGCCTGTGAAACTATAAATACAAAGGGTTTTATATTCATTTCCTCCTTTTAAAAACTGTGCTCATGTCCCTCAAAGTTGATATTGGGTTCACCTCCCTTTCCCCCATTGAAGCCAGGAATACAATTACTGTTTTGGGTTCCTTGTACTACAACTAATTTCACTCTGACAGATCAATTGTGGTTTAGTATTTAATATTTACTCATTTGAAGAATCTACCTCAAAGACTACCTGAGTCAGTGCAGCATTAAGACATATTATTAAAACGCACCTGAGGCAGACAGCGGGGTCTTGATTCTGCTCAAAACATCGAGGTTGGTGTGGGAGACCACATCCTGCACTGAGCTGGAATCCAGCTCATGCTCCACCATTCTGCTGGGATCAGAGGCGAGAATGATCTGAACTATCTGAAGAATCCAGTAGCACAGTAACACTGCTTTAAGCATGATCCTAGGAGGTAAACATACAACAGTTAACTGGAAGAAGCAGTCAATTTCTAGCCATAAGTCTGCTTGCATTTATTAACAATGCACTCCTTCTTGGTCTTTTCTTACGTGTATAAGTACTTGCTAAGATTTGATCTAAGAAACTACCTCATATAAACAGTGTTTGTAGTTAGCAAAATAACTGTCAGAAATGAAAACAAACTTTTTGTCCAACCAATAGTTACTGTACAGTGCTTCTGCTTTGGGAAACTGTGCAGAGAGCCCTGGGTTTTATATCTCCTGGATGTACTTTAGCGTCACACATGACGCTAGCACTAATGAAGGGGGAGTGGGATTTATATCTACCTCACTTAAGGTTTCTTTAAAATTCAATAACAGACTATTCATGGCAACCTTGACTCAGTGCTGGTCTTGGAGGCAAAAGATTGCACGTTCAAGCACCACTTCAGAAACTGGTGCACAACTTCCAGGTTGACATTCAGTCCACTACTGAGAGAGTGATATACATTTAGAGGCGTCATCTTTCCCATAAAACATTAAAACAAGGAGCTGTAAGAGGTCCAGTGGCATTATTGAAGCACAACAATGTTTGAAAAGCATCCCCTGCCATTCAGTGTAATGTTTATCCCTCTACCAACTAAAACAGATTATATCATCATTCATTTTAATCTAGAAAACAATGAGATTGTGCATTTTGGTAGGAAGAAAAGGTCATTTATTGTTGAACTATATAGTTTGACAATTCTGTTTGCCTTGTTATTCTTTGCTAAACAACCACAAAGTCTATCAGCACTTCTGGAGGAAGTTTTGTCACTCACTGCTAGCATCTCTACCTCTGGGCCAGAAACCCCAGGTCTAATTCCACAAGGACTTGTTGTCCAGAGTTTATGGGCTGTTTCAAGGGCTGATAATCAGCCTAAATGTCCTATCACCACTTCCCCAAAAGAAGGATAAAAATATATCTGGTCAGATATGGTACCTATGGATCTTTTTCAACTTCATCCTAAGATATTTCAAAACCTTTCAGGGATAACTTCTGACATCCATTTGTCTTATTTTTCCAAATCAAGTAGGTCAACTTTGTTTCATATTAATTGTGTCTAATCTTTGATGTCTTTATGGTCAGTTAATTGATGAGTCTATCACAATGGTTTAGGGACTGTTCACTGAGAAATACATGTTGTTTTGAAGAAATTATAATTTTGGCACAAAATAATGAACTCTGGATTTGGAATTGATCTGTTTGAACATTAATTAATGTGTGTCCGTTATTAAAAGAGGCTCTTTGACCTAAGGATGTGGATTTGGGAGCAATAAATTAGTTAAAAAGCCTGAAATTGAGACACATCAGGAAATGGCAGCAATGCATCAATGTCAACTTTAGTACGTTTTGCTACATACAAGTAACTTCTATGGGTGAGATAGATTGCCAAATAAATATGTTAGAAGGTAATTAGCAGCCATTTTAACTGCATTTTTGGAATTTGACTCCAAATAGACAGGTTAGCCAGGTTTCCTGGAAATTGTCAGCGAACATAAGGCAAGAGGAGATTGAGGTACCTGAGCATATAATAGGTAAAGAATCTCCTAAGTACTATTACCAATTAGTTTGTCTAACTCAAAGGCTTTGGCTTCCCATTACAATCCTCCTTCCCCAGAAACTGACCCCATTCTTCTGCCTGACAACTATCTGAGGTTGAACCAAATTTTTTGCGGCCTTAGTGAAATGAATTCCCAACCATATAATACATAATTATTAAAACTACCTGTTGCCATCTCTGCAAAATAATTATACTTTACCCCCATCTCAAGTCATCTCCTGCTGAAACCATCAGGCATGCCTTTGTTATTCTTAACTATACCAACACACTCTCGGCTGGCCTCCTACATTCTACTCTCCGTAAACATGACCCAAAACTCTGTTGACCTGTTCTTAATTGTGCCCAGTTCATTTACTCACCACCTCTGTACTTCCTGATCTACACTGGCTCACAGTCAAGCAACACTTCAAGTTTAAAATTCTCATGCTTGATTTCAAGACCTTCCATGTCCTTGGTCTTCCCTATTTGTGATATCCTCCAGTGCCAGGATGCAAGATATCTCCTCTTTTGATTCTGACCCCTTGCACACCCCTGAATTTAAAGGCTTCACCAGTGGTAGCCATGCCTTCAGTTGCCTAGGACCAAAGCTTTGGGGTTTTTTTTGCATAAAATCTACCTCTTTGAGGAATCTTTTTGCCAACTCCCTAATATTGCTGTGTGGCTTGGTGTTCAGTTTTGTTTTGTAACACTTTGTGAAGCACCTCAAGATATTTCATTATATTAAAGGTGCTATATAAATACAATTTGTTGTTGTTTTGTGCAGAGATTTATATTAAATCCCTCTAGTCGGATAATGAGAGTGCTACATGCCCACTACCAGATTGCTGTTTAAAAATTCTCCTTTTGCTCCATATTACTCTTAATGGATATGAGGTAATGCTCCTTCACTCTTGTTACACAGTTGCCATTGCAAAAAACAGCAATTACCTGTACTGCTTTACCTGGGATGACTAATGGCAATATAAGTGCACTTTATTGAAGTCAGACATTAATAGATTTTTGGAAAGTCAGTAGAAATGAAAGGTTGAAAAGGTCATGGTTTTCAGAACAAATCAGCTTGACCAAACCATCTAAATTGAAAATGATCAAAAATCCATTTAGAACAGAGAAAGGAATTTGTTTTCTGCAGCATGTGACTGAAGTAGTTATTTTCTCCAATCAACATGGATATTTAAGCGGTTGTTTATTACTAGTATACCTGAAAGATACTTTGCTGCTACGAGGCAGTCATTTTGAAAGCTACAGGCAAAACGTTGAGGGTCTGATTCCTATGATAACAAATATCTTTTAATTTCTCTTTCACACAGCATATATGCAGTGTGCTTTATGTCAGGAATAACTGTAACACTCATGTGACACCATTTATTTTCCAGACTATTTTGGTAAGTTTGAACATACAATGTTTGGCTACTCCTGTCATATAGTCTATTTAAAATTCAAAATAGGCATAATATTAAACAGAATATGAAAACATTTATACGGCTAGCATTGCCATTAGCAGGTGCTTTCATGGCTTCTTACCAAAATCACCTCATTAATTACCTACCACGTCCAACATCCGCCCAATTTTACATGCACATTTCTTGGAACAAATTGTGACTTTAGCAGATATCCCAGAATTCACTGGCAGGCCTTACACTGGCACCATCTTTAAAAGCCCATTGTGCACTCGGACAAGCTCTGTCAGTCCAGGGCTGCCCTGCATGGCTCCTGACATTTGGCTCAGATGTGACAATGAGAAATTGGTGCCCAACTTTGTGGGTAGGGTCTGGAGGACTGGGCACCAAATTAGGAAATCCTCTTTCCTGAAGACAAAGAGTGGAAGCCAAATCACCAGACCACGGCAGACTGGTGTGAGTTTGCCACCAAGATTAAAGCAGCCTCAGGCGTCTGGAGGAATGACCCTCTCCATTTCGCCAGCATAAGATCCAGCATCCTTTCTCCAATACGTCACTCTCCTTCTCTTTTACTGCACCCACCTCCCACCAAGGCTCATGCTCTACCACTCTCACCCACCCCAGTCCCCTACACTACTAACCCTGCATGCCCTTGTTCTCTCTACTCACTTACTCTATACACATCCCCATCTGCACCAGCAGTAATAATTGTGCCATCCACTTCCTTCCATAAAATGAGCCACAATATGGCAAGATGGCGGCAGAGTAGGATGCTCCACTCAAAGGTCCTCTGCTTGACGTTCTTCTGCTTTCTTTATTTCTGTCTTCTTTTAGCTATCCCAGAGCAGCTTGAGGGGAAGTGAGTCCCAGAGCAGCTCAAAGGGAAGTGAGCCCGAGAGCAGCTCGAGGGGAAGTGAGCCCCAGAGCAGCTCGAAGGGAAGTGAACCTGGAGCAGCTCAAAGGGAAGTGAACCCCGGAGCATCTCGAGGGGAAGTGAGTCCCACAGCAGCTCGAAGGGAAGTGAGTCCCGGTGCAGCGCAAAGGGAAGTGAGTCCTGGAGCAGCGTGAGGGGAAGTGAGTCCCGGAGCAGCGCGAGGGGAAGTGAGTCCTTGAGCAGCGCGAGGGGAAGTGAGTCCTTGAGCAGCATGAGGGGAAGTGAGTCCTGGAGCAGTGCAACTTACCTTGGTGCAGCTGAGTACCAGTGCGAAGTAGACTGGAGGCTTCGAGCGGAGTGGGACAGTTGTTGGACTGGGGCCTGCCACAGGTGGTCAGACTACATGCTGAGCTGCTGCAATGTAACGTCGATTTGAAATTCTTTACCAGACTGTAATGTCAATCCTTTACTGGACTGTAATGTCAATCCTTTACTGGACTGTAATGTCAATCCTTTAACTATGTTATAACTATCTTATTTCTAACTTATTTTTTAGACACTGTAAATAATGCTATGACTTTTCCTTTTATTCTTCTTTTATATCCAAGATTTGTGCCTTGGTACTTGTACCTACGATGGCGCCATTAGAAGGCAGCCATTGTAAAAACTTTTCACTGTACTCCTGTACTTTTGTACTGGAGTTCACGTGACAATAAAGGATATTCTATTCTATTCTGAGATAACAAGGTGTAGAGCTGGATGAACACAGCAGGCCAAGCAGCATCAGAGGAGCAGGAAAGCTGACGTTTCGGGCCTAGACCCTTCTTCAGAAATGGGGGAGGGGATGGGGTTTCTGAAATAAATATGGAGTGGGGGAGGCGGATGGAAGATGGATAGAGGAGAAGATAGGTGGAGAGGAGACAGACAGGTCAAAGAGGTGGGGATGGAGCCAGTAAAGGTGAGTGTAGGTGGGGAGTTAGGGAGGGGATAGGTCGGTCCAGGGAGGACGGACAGGTCAAGGGGGCGGGATGAGGTTAGTAGGTAGGAGATGGGGGTGGGGCTTGAGGTGGGAGGAGGGGATAGGTGGGAGGAAGGACAGGTTAGGGAGGCGGGGACAAGCTGGGCTGGTTTTGGGATGTGGTAGGGGGAGGGGAGATTTTGAAGCTTGTGCAGTCCGCATTGATACCATTGGGCTGCAGGGTTCCCAAGTGGAATATGAGTTGCTGTTCCTGCAACCTTCGGGTAGCATCGTTGTGGCACTGCAGGAGGCCCAGGATGGACATGTCATCTGAGGAGTGGGAGGGGGAGTTGAAATGGTTCGCGACTGGGAGGAGCAGTTGTTTAGTGCGAACCGAGTGTAGGTGTTCTGCAAAGCAGTCCCCAAGCCTCCGCTTGGTTTCCCCGATGTAGAGGAGGCCACAACGGGTACAGCAGATGCAGTATACCACATTAGCAGATGTGCAGGTGAACATCTGCTTGATGTGGAAAGTCTTCTTGGGGCCTGGGATGGGGGTGACGGGGGAGGTGTAGGGGCAGGTGTAGCACTTCCTGCGGTTGCAGGGAAAAGTGCCGGGTGTGGTGGGGCTGGAGGGGAGTGTGGAGCAGACAAGGGAGTCACGGAGAGAGTGGTCCCATCCGAAAGCAGATAAGGGTGGGGAGGGAAAAATGTCTTTGGTGGTGGGGTCAGATTGCAGAAGGCAGAAGTGTCAGAGGATGATGCGTTGGATCCGGAGGTTGGTGGGGTGGTACGTGAGGACGAGGGGGATTCTGCTTTGGTTGTTATTGCGGGGAGGGGGTGTGAGGGATGAATTGCGGGAAATGCGGGAGACACGGTCGAGGGCGTTCTCGACCACTGAGGGGGGGAAGTTGCGGTCCTTGAAAACGAGGACATCTGAGATGTAAGGGAGTAGAATGCCTCATCTATTCTATTCTGTTCTATTCTATTCTATCCTCTCTCTCATTCTTTGAGGAAAACAGACTCCAGTAGGACAGAAAGAGCAAAGACAAATGGTGGGCTCTCCGTCTTTCGGCTTAAGACCCCTCTTGAGGAGAGGGTCCTGACTCTGACCAGTGTGAGCAGGGCCTGATCTGGTGTTTGAGGCTGTCCTTGACTTACTGAGCCAGGACTCTCAGAGCAAAGGCTAACCCCTTGACTTGACTGAGGACTGCTGATAACTATGACAATATTCCTGACTTTGTGCATGAAACGGCAGGGCATGCCAGCAATAATGTGAGCCCTGTATATCTGGCTAAGGGGTCAAAGTACAAAAGGCAAGGCAATGCTTAGTCGGAATGCTGTGAAACTCCAGACAAGTTTAGGGTGAGTGAGCACAATGACAGTGAGTTGAAGAGCCAAGAGATTTATAGATGTGTGGTTCCCGAGTGGATGAGGTGATCTCCAGTTACCCACGTTTCTGATAATGAAAGAATTCTACAGTGTGGCAATCAGCATTCAACACATCCTTTTGTTGGTTCAAAATGATCCACATCTTCCACTTTGGGGAACTTTATCCAGTCCTTTAGGACAACAAGACCACAACAGATATTAGGGCAATGCAAGTGAAGATATATTTACAAAAGTGTTTACAAAGACTAAACAGCCATACCAATGATGTGCTGACAAAAGGTTTTCTTCTTCCTCTCCTACTACTTCTAGGTGCAGGCCTGACTCCCACAGTTGGCATAGAAGATGACTGCCGACAACTACACCCTGGTGACTTTGATGGGTGTTCTGTAAGGGTTCTGGAGAGCCCAGACCCAACTGGGAATCCCCTGCACAGCTTCAAGCTTACCTTGCTCAGCCTGAGCTGCTGGAGGCAATGTGGTAATTAGTAGGGGGAGGTAAAGGTGCAGGTCACCTCTGGAATTGGGGAGGCAATAGCCTAGTGGTATTACCGCTGGACTGTCAATCCAGAGACCCAGATAACGTTCTGGGGACCTGGGTTTGAATCCCGCCACGGCAGATGGTGGAATTTGAATTCAATAAAATATCTGGAATTAAGAGTCTAATGATACTGTGAATCCATTGTCAATTGTTGGAAAAACCCACCTGGGTTCACTAATGTCCTTTAGGGAAGGAAACTGCCATCCTTACCTGGTTCTGGCCTACATGTGACTCCAGTCCCACAAAAATGTGGTTGACTCTGAACTGCCCTCTGGGCAATTACGGATGGGCAATAAATGCTGCCTAGACAGTGACACCCTCATCCCATGAATGAATAAAAAAAAATGACCTGAATTGAAACTGCTGGAGTCCAGTCTGTTCTTCCTTCTCCCTCTGGCTGCATACAGGCACCAGTCTGTTTTCTTAAGAAGGAGTACCAAGGGAGTGAAGTTGATGTATCTTAACCCCTTTCACTTACCACTGATGCTGAGCACCCTTGGCCAGAGCAATAGAGTGTGGGTCTGAGCACATATCTGGCAAGCACTTAGGTTTCCAAGGCAGCTGCTAGCCTTTCCATGAGGGTAGCCAAGCATATACACACTGGAGCCACTACAGCAGTGACTTCGAGGACAGATTCCTCCATCTTTCATTCCAACCTACAGATAGGTGCTCAGACGTGAGGTTTGAGCGGATGACGTGGGTGTGAGCCCTTGAGTGTACATCGTGCCTTTACACTTGGAGGGTATGAGGCTTTGTGAGATGCCTGTGTAGTGGCAGTGGTACATTGAGTGATGGCCCTGTAAGTGTGATGTTGCAGAGAAAAGACGGTGCCACTTACCCTCACGGAGCACAGGAGATCATTGACAATTCTCCTGCACTGCTTTCCAATCCTTTGCAATCCAGTGGCATTGATCTGACTTGTGGTTTCAGTCCATTTTGATGGGTCTGATGAGATGGCCTCCTGGCACAGTCACCCAGGAAGAGGATCTCTCCTCTGTCTGTAACCCTGTCCGACAGCACACTGTGGCAGAGACTGCAGTTTACCTAAGATTCACCTGCAAGCTGGAGCCTTTTCTCGTTTCATTTTACATAATGCTTGGTTCTTAACCAAGCAAGAGTAATCCTTTTCATGAACATCAACAACATACAGCGACTGAGATTTGCAATTTTTGCACAATCATAGGCATAATCATGAAGTTCAATTTAAAAATTTCATAAAGCTCCCTTAGAAAATAGAAAACTAGTTTAGTTCAATCACCAGAAATCAATCACTCAAATAGCTTATTGGCTAAAATAACACCAAATTTTAAAGGTAAGCAAAATGCAGAGCTCAAAAATAGGCCATTCAGCATGTTTTGTCTATGTTTTGTTACTGCTTTGTTTAAACAAAAGCTCTGAATCACTGTGCATAGTGATAGGTGTTACAGCCATCTCCGAGCAGCTTTGTGGAATTAAAATAATGACCATTAATTATCATATTTTGTTTCTTACTAATGCTGCAAGTTAACAAAATCATACCCCCCTTCCTCCATCAAAGTGTGTTCACAGGGCCCTCAGGCCTGTCTGATCCCATATCTCTGCCCTTACCCGTTCCACTCCCTCCCAGAATAACAATAGGACAACCCCATGTCTTCACTTTCCACCCCACCAGTTTAAAGGATCATCCTCCAATATTTCTGCCACCTCCAGCAGGATACCATCATCAAATTCTCTTCCCCTTCCCTCCATTGTCAGTGTTCAGCAGGGATTATTCTCTCTATGACACCCTGGTCCATTTTTTCATCACTCCTAACTCTTCCTCAATCCTCCATGGCATCTTTCCATGCAATCAGATAAAATGTAAAACTTGCCCATTCACCTCTTCCCTCCTCACTGCCCAAGGCCCCAAAGACACCTTCAAGTGAATTGGCATTTCACTTATTTACTGTATTCACTGTTCACATTGCAATCTTTTTTACATTGACAAGACCAAACACACACTGGGTGACTGCTTTGCAAAGCATCTCTGTAGGAATGACTGTGACCTTCCAGTTGTCTACCACTTCAATAAGCCATCTTGCTCTCATGCTAACATTTCTGTCCTTGGCATACTGCAATGTTCCAACGTAGCTCAATGCAATCTGTAGGAATAGTACCTCATCATCTGCTTCGGTACTTTAGAATGTCTGGGACAAAATATTGCGTTCCACAATTTCACAGCATGACCTCTGTCCTCCATTTTTCTTTAAATCCCACCCCAGTCACCATGCTTTTGTTTGTTTCTTGTGGACTTTGCTATCAACAGAATGGGACCATTTTCTCCCTCCCGCATATTAACATTCACCTACACCCATTTTAAATTTCTATTTCTCCTTTATAACCATTAACACTGCCTTTGTCTTTTGCTCTTGGCACCTTCACAATGCTCCTCCTTCCACTGTGTCTCAACGGCATAAAGAAAAACACAATTTCTCAGCCTCTTTCAATCCTGAAGAAGTCATATTGACTGAAAACATGAACTGTTTCTCTCTCAACAGAATACTTCCAGACCTGCTGAGTTTCTCCAGCACTTTACACTTATGTTTCAGATTTCCAGCATTAATAGTATTTTGATTTTTTTTAAAGTTAACAAGATGTAATGATTATAGAGATAACAAGGTGTAGAGCTGGATGAACACAGCAGGCCAAGCAGCATCATAGGAGCAGGAAGGCTGACGTTTCGGGCCTAGACCCTTCATCAGAAAA